TCGGAATAGTGATCTAAGAAAAAAAAAACTATGGTTATTTCCCAATTTTGACAACAACACAATGGTAATAGAACCAAACTTAAATTAACAAGTACTATACTTATATTTGCAATCATCTAATACGTTGATACTACAAGATCTAACAACATTGACAAAAATGAACGAAATGGCGAAAAAGCACAACTTCATGACCAGAATTTTGTGATAGAAATAAAGCAAATAATATAAAAATAGCTAAATATTAGAAATTTGGAAGATACATATGCTCTACAAATAAGCACAGACCTCTGTTCAATCGACCATACCAAAAAAAAAAAAATCAGATTCCTTTCTGTCCACCGAAACGGAAATACCCCCTACACTAACACAGCAGACGACACATGTCCCGTTACATGCTTGACCTATAACCTCATTGACGTCACATGGCGCGAATGGTTGGCACATTGTATACAACAAGCACGTGTATGCCAGATGTAAACATTGAATTTTTAATGTACAGATGTAGCGTTTGGGAAATTAGGGTTTTAAAGTTTAAAATTTCTACACAATAATAATATTTTGGGAAAACTTAAACTGTTTACAGCATGTTTCATTCAGCACAACGCTGTTTAAATCCTATGGTGTTTGTCACTGGCTTTACACGTGGCCATAATGTAAATAAGATCACGCTCCCTCATGTACGTACCGCGCTCTACCCTTTGCCTGCTGCATCGCTTATTATTAGCGCTTGTTGAAAGCTGGCATGCACTGCCAATATAATAACAAAGAGAATTGGGCATTTTTCAAATAATTTCATGCATTTCTAACATCAAACTCACTTAAATTCTCTACGCTAAACCATATATCTTCTTCCCCTACCCACCTCACTGTTCAGCTTGTAAGAATGCTCCCTTCATTACATAACAGATGCGAAGCTAAATTTAGCATCTATTCAAAGCGCCATCATACGACAACAATGCCTATCACACAATAGAAGGATGGGTGAATAACTCTAAGTAGCTTTAAACTTCTCTACAGGTATGCGGGATATTAAAAAACTTCGTTTTTTCGCTCTAAAAGTTTTATTTTCAACTTTTAATATATGAAATCAATTGTAACTGTCCGATTTAATTGATTTTCATCAAATTTAGTCCCGATTAGTGAGCGGTGACGTAATTTAGCTACAGCAGAAGCTTTGGTTGATGCCATTTGGCTCAGCTGGCTTTGCTTCCAGACTCTGCGGTTTTCCAACCAGAAGGTCTAATTGATTAATATTTATAGTTTTTCTTATTTTCAAGTTGTTTTGCATTTAAATTCTTTAAAAACAGATTGCCCTACCCCTATGACAACCTAAAATTGCAGCTGCCTGGGTTTATTATGTAAAAATTGAGACCGAAAAGCTGGAGACCAAACCGTCAGCTACGTGCTTTTGTTCACTTTTTTTTGTTTGAATTTGCCCCGCTTGTTATGTTCGATTATTTTCACTAATTAATAGGAATAAAAGGCAAAATGTATTGAGGGTAAAATGTATGTATTCTGCTTTATTGTGTAGCTAGTGCGCCGAACGCATGTCGTCTAGCAGATACTCTGCAGGTGAGGCAATCTGGACAAAGAGGGAAAGCGAGAAGATTTAGATGCAAAACACACAAATAAATGTTATATTGAATCTTAACAGATGATTTATAGCTACTTGAGAAACGGTTGAAGACAATAATCACAATGACAGAGAGCTAAATCCACTGAAGAGTTAGAGAAGACAAAAAAGAAAGAAAAAACATGCACGGAAAGGCGTGGCGTCTGTTTACCATAGAGCGCAAGAACAGTTATGTTGCTTACACATGCAGGAGGGCAATTTGCCAAGGCATCTATGACATCATCCATCAAGTAAATCTATAGCAGCCAACTTTAATTCTGTTGACATACGGTGCTTCAGCTGCTTGCACCTGCGATTTTGAAATAAATAAAATATCTATTGCACATGTCCAACAACCATGCCCGCATCATTTGTTCCAACCACCAATCGAAGGCAAATCTGCCAGAAAGACTGGTTTCATTGGAGAGAGTGTAACTTGAAAAACCCTTTATTAAGTGGTAGGATTCTTTCTAATTGATTTTTGTAACCGAGACGGGTCTGTTATGAAGGATTTTCTCTAATCAGTTTAATTTATTGGAAAACGCAACCTGACATGGTTTGAAGGCAGATATCAAATTGAGCCATATCTTTAAACTTCAATTTAGAAGCTGCGAAATGAGAAATTGCCATTTATCATTGCTCCAGGGCTTTGTTGTGAAAATTTTGTGAATTTTGGAAAGAAATATTCATATAATTCAGCTGAAATCATCACTTTCAAAAACTCACTGTATTAGGACAACAATGGTTTGAATAACCTTGAAATTAATCGTGTTGATTGAGGGGGGATTTGCTGGATACATGTTTGCTTTGATACAAGCCGTTTTTAAAGTCCTGTTTTCCTAGGTTCTCTCGCGTGGATTGGTGAGAACTTCGTCAAACGAATGTCTGATATATGCTCTTTTGACGTTTTTGTCAATATATAGCTCTAAACTAAACTTTCGTAGATGTCAAACAAATACGACATCGCGCCTTATCTCAAAATTTTCAGGGAGCCACGTTAGAGTCTTATCGAACGAGACTGAACTTTAAAGTCTTCTATTTAGCCAATGGGGTGACCACTGAATGCTTCTAGCTCGTGAACAAATTCAATACTTTGCATTTTTCTTCACTTTCTTGAGTCAAAGAGATGATGATGAGGGAAAATGCAGAAAGTTGTACCAACAAGGAAATGTCATTTGTAGTTCTGGGAATCACATTCCTGAAATACTGATCGAGTTTTATCACATCACTTTCTTCTCGCCTAGTGAGACATATCTCGTCCAGGATCAGAGCTAAACTGAGAAATACCTACAAATTTCACACTGTAAGCATCTTGACAGTATACTGGATTAAATATAAAGTAGATCATGCCATTTGAAACATTGATGAAGAAATATAAAAAACATTGCATAAATTGTTGTAAGCTCATTGTGAAAAGTCCATAATCTGTTCCGAGTATATGATCACGATTGACATTTGGCGGGAAATTATGTTATAAGTTATCTCCCTTCATCACTTCATGAATGCTCGTACTTTTGTCAACATTTGCTTCGTTGACGGCATTTCTTGAGCATGTTGAAAATTAAACTTTGCACTAAGTGAATGAAGGTTCATACTAGAAAGCCCAAAACGCCAGAAAATTGAGCAGAAATGCAGAATCTTACAAAATATGCATTTTCCCTTTTTAACTCGACATGATTCACTGCATTTACTCTTGAGTTTCATATACAACATGTACATGTACTTTCATTTATTTTTTTAAATTGAGCGGACAAATAGCAATTTTTTAGATCAGACTTCTCACTTGTTTTGGCTACAAGATGCTTAATAGGGTAGTTTGGGCTGATCGTAAATGAAAGTATCGACAATGATTACTTCTGGTGGATAGGTACCATCAATGCGGCATTTTTGTCTTCTTTATGTGTGATTTGATCGTTACACGTACTTTCTACCTTTAAAATTGTTTAAAGTTTTATACAATATACAGCTTTTCAAAAATTTCATTGGTCTTTAATGTACTGTTGAGCCGGGTTGGAGAGTGGAAACAGCATTTATTCCATTGATATTGTAAATGTACAAAATGTGTTGTTTTTTTTAAGAACGATGCTTACTTGCTATTAGAAATTAATTCTTTATCAACTATCATATTTGAATGAGATCACTTTTATCAAGATAACACTTGCTTCCGTTCTGTGTTACAACAGATATCGTGCATTTGTATTTATTAACACAAAGGCTCCAATGTTTAATCGCCTTTAAGTAGCAAGAGAACTTTTTAACCTTGATGTAGAATTTGGTTTTTCAACTTAATTAGTTGGAGTACAGCTACTGTATTGTATCTTTTTCATGGCTGGTTTAAAGTTAAACAGTTTGCCCACTCCAATGTTACCAGGGATGAGAAGTGGGGAGGTCTTTGAAACAGGCAATTCCATACTTATTAAGATGAAGCGCAGAACAATCCAGATTCACCCAGACAACATTTTATCCGAAAGGATCGAACCACTAAGTCGATAACAAGCAAAATATAAATTGCATCACTGGAATAATTAACAAATCATACGAATTCCTGTCAAATATTAATAGCTACTTAGTAAATATATTGTCTACCATGGATGATAAACACAAGAGTTTCAGATTCCGCTGACATAATACACACAATTATTCTCTCTCTCTCTCTCTCTCTCTCTCTCTCTCTCTCTCTCTCTCTCTCTCTCTCTCTCTCTCTCTCTCTCTCTCTCTCTCTCTCTCTCTCTCTCTCTCTCTCTCTCTCACACACACACACACACACACAATAAATATTGTCGTTTTTTTTAGGTTTAATCCAGTCCTGGATTAAACCCTGTGGAGGCCACGAGGAAGTCGAAATTTAGGTGGGAAGGGGCCTAACAAATTGTCTCCAATACGTTTTTAATTTTACCAACCAACAAATGTTGTGGGGCCCATAGGCCGGTACCTACTCAGTCTATTTGGTAATCCGGCACTGTGTACATCCAAACTTTCCACCAGAGTGTGCTACGTACTACGTGGTGTGGTGTATCTATAAAATCGAGTAAGAAGAAACTTTGCATACAAATTAACTATAATCAGAGAATTAATTTTCTCTTGTATACAATTCGGGGTCAATACTCTGTGTGTGTGTGTGTGTGTGTGTGTGTGTGTGTGTGTGTGTGTGTGTGTGTGTTCAGATTTCAATGTACCTTTAACAATTTTTCCGTCAGATCGCTACGATGTCTGCAGTGTGGCAGTTTATAGAAATGTCTAGCACTGGGGTATCATGTCGCAGACATATAGCACGATGTCCCACCCAGTCATATTATCTTGACACCGAGCATACCAGTCCTGACACTAACCTCTTGATGCTGAGCGTCTAGCGAGGCAGCTATAAGTTCATTTTTATAAGTCTCTGCTACGACTCTGTCAGGGTTTGAACCCGTGACCTCCCACATACAAAGCGGACGCTCCAACCACGAGGCTACCGGAGAGATAATGGGTCAATATTAAAGGCTAGAATCACCTTTTGTTTTTATAGGAATGAGCATTTTATGTCTGGCTCAGTAGATGGTAAAGACCAGAAGATGAAACTTGTTGCAATGTATCACTACCGACAAAATGTATAAAGTAAATTCCTGAGGATCATATGTTCAAGGTCAAGATAAAAACCAACGTTCTTTTTTTCACTTTAAATTGTATAATTGCACGGCTTTTTAAACTTTGTACTCACATTATCATTTTTGACGATATGCCGCGAATTAAATTTTGCGTCATATCATGAAACGTCAAGGTCACAGATCAGAATTATACAATTTAAATCTGGTGACCCAGTTGATACGCGTATGTACAGACCTCACGAAATATATTCACAGAGGTCGAGAACATAACGTGGTATGGCAACTGAGGAGATTAAAATAAATCGGCTGTAAACGAAAGTCTGAAAAGAAATAAAAGAATTGTAAAACTGCTCTAAGTGTATTTCTTGTATATTTATGCTAGTGTTAGTTTCTTCATTATTTAATTTATCACGTATTATTTTGTTCTGATTCACTGATGCAATAGAAAACTTATCTTACAGAAAATAATTTCGTTGTATAATTAAATTATAAAGATTGACGAATTTGATCAGGTTAAGGGGGCACTCTACAGATATTATAAATTTCTGAAATAGTGACAGGTTCAAGGTGAAGTTGCTTGCAATTGTAACATGCACAGTGGAGGAAATGATGGCATAACTCATTTTTGTACATACCGTATTGTTGAAATTTCTTTGTATTATGTACGTTTGCAAATTGTACATGATCTAAGCATGCAGTTAATCAAACTGACGGCTCCGTTGTGCTCCATAGATCAACAGGAATTAGTCTAAAGAGCACTAGTTTTAGCAATTATTAAAATAGGGTAAAAGTATTTTACCAGCTTCTGATGGTTCAATGAATGACTTTCCAAAATCCAACAAATTAAAATGAAGCAGAAGAAATTCAAACCCAAGCACACTATGAAACTGTGTAGCGCCACCTTAATGGCTGTTTATTGTACCATGCGTGACCAACATTATGACTACCAAGTGCATTTGTTAAGGTGTTCTTTCACGCGTGCTAGCGTACGTGGACTATATATATATATATATATATATATATATATATATATATATATATATATATATATATATATATATATATATATATAGAGAGAGAGAGAGAGAGAGAGAGAGAGAGAGAGAGAGAGAGAGAGAGAGACTTGGTTTGCCAATATGTCACTAGTGATTATGTTAAAAAAACAATCATATCTTAAAAGCAGAGCAGTTTAAAGAAGTTTGCGGGCCCTAGGCACAAACTTCTAACCATAAAAGTAACCAGAATTGCGCCTCATTCTCTCAATCTCAGATATAGAGTATTGCATTGCATTTCCATAGGCAAGTGTATCATTTTGTTAAATTTATTAATATAGTACTAAACTGATAACACAACCGACACCGAAATTTTGTTTTTGGGCCGCCACGGGACCCTAGGCACGTGCCTCGCATGTCTTAAAACGGTACTGGTCAACCATCCTATGTTATCGGGGTTTTTTTTCGACATCTCGAAAAGATGGTCGCATGCAAGAACTTAAATTGTCTAGGGAAATAAGACTTGTTGTGTCTGGAAAGTATCTCTTAGAACAACTATCCGATCAGCCTAATATGTCCGGGGATCATCAGAATATCGGAAACATGCAAACAAAGAATCGTGTCTTAATTAAACGAGGAAATCTTCCAAAGAGGGGCTGATGTTAAATAATTTTATCGATTCCCTTCTGAAAATAGAGTTAACTGATGACTCTTCAACCTTTTATGGAAGTTTTAAACCTCTTAGAGAAAACCATTTTAGCAAAAGGACACCCAGATTTAAACTGTGAAGATAACTATTGGCGATGTCTTGATAGATGATCCAGGTTGGGGGTGTAACTATCATACTGCTTCTAATATTGAAAGAAAAAGAGTTGAAACGTTGCTGTATCCGGTGCATATTGCAACAGCATTAGGAAAATCGAGAGTCCTTATTGCCCACGATTCTTTGCATGCTTCTGATATTCAGATGATCCCCGGACATATTAGGCTGATTGGATAGTTGTTTTAAGAGATACTTTTAACAAATTATTGACTATCTCATGCTGAGGAAATGGGAAATTAATTGGAAGATGAGAGGCTATTGGCCATATACCTTATTATGTGTACTGCATACCTGTGAAAGTTATATTATGTAGTCTTTTGATCAGTTTCCAGACACAACAAGTCTTAGTACACTAGACAATTCAAGTTCTTGCATGCGGCCATCTTTTCGAGATGTCGGAGAAAACCGATCACATAGGATGGTTGCTCCCTTGTGTCCTCGCAGAAGCTTAAATTTTGGGGGTGCATAAAATCATGTTTCCACTGCGATGTCCAACTCCACGACCTATGTCCTTATTAATTTTTTTAAAAGAGCATACCAGTAAGTTCTTGCCATCGGTAATGAAGTCTCTTTTTTGCTTTTGTTTCGTTGCTGTTTGGGATATCCTTAGGATTACAAAATTTATCCAGGAAAAAAAAAATATTTGTGCTGACGAACTGTCTTGTCTGAGGCCATTGTGCGTGTAACCTAATAAAGACCTACAATATTACCTTGTTCCACTTTAACTGAAATCTAAACCAAAAATATGTTATCCTCAAAGGTTTCCATCTTCATGGGGATCAAGGGGTCTACTGTATTTTCAATTAGCAGAGTGTCGGATATGTAATCTAAGAGTCGCTTGTTTGAGATCCACCCAAGGTTGGCTGCCTCAATGTGTCTGTTGGAAAGACGATTAGACCCCAATCCCTCGCCATGCTACAATGTCAAGTAGCTGAAAGTGTTGTTATGAACCAGACTTTCGACATCATGGTTACAAATTTATAAAACCCATTTGCAACTCTCGTTAAATTATTTTTCATCCCTTCTTACTTATTATTTTTTAATGTAGGTGTAATCGGATGTGGCACGTGCGTTCTTGGTTTTATGACAGCGAATATACGTTGTTCTTTTCATTTTATCAAAGAAGTTAACGTTTTCTTTCTGCATATATTCCTCTCTGCACAATTTGAGTTATTTAATTCTTCTGTAAGCATCAGAGAAACCGAAACGCTAAATAATTAAATGCAATTTTCCTATTCTCAAAAGTAACCATCGCCAATATAGGTAGTGCATTGAAAATTTCATCTAAACTCTTAAAAATCTAAGTGTTAGTAAGCTTGCCATTATCTATCGTCTACAGACACCTATTTTACAAATTAAAACGTAATCCAACATCACACTTTTAGCAACCATACGTGCAAATGTTCTGCAGTAGTTTGTTTTTATATATGCTCAACATGGGGGAAAAAATAGTTCCAACAGTGTAAACTTAATGGAATAGATTTGACAATTTGGACTGAGAACAAAATGTCATAATGACTACCGAACACACACGCATGATAAACAGGAAATTTCTGAACTACCAATAAAATATGAGTTAATGTTACTGGTTAACACCAGTGTAGAATAACTAAGCAATGCTGATACTAAGCAATATGACACTTTTTTTTAGAAAAATCATATGCTACTATGACAACACCATAGTTAAAATTTATTTGCAGAAAACGTTTCTTCTTTCATACAAAATGACCTTGACTTTTGAACCACAAAGTCAATATGCTTCTTTCTTACGCGAAATGCAAGCCAACCAAAAAGTTTGGTCCAGGTCTGTCCTGTAAAATTATTGCTGTTTACGGAAATATTTTTCAGCTTCAGCCACAATGACCATGACCACTGATCTCTAAAATAATAGAGTGTAAACAGTCCAAGTGGTTTGGCCCATGTGTGTGAACTAATGTTATAATGTAGAAGTCATTCTTCGAGTCATATTAATTTTTATCTTTGATGGTTAGAACAGAAACCATAGTCAATAGGCGTCTTCCTTACCAAAATGCAAGCCGTCCATCCATAGTAACTGTAAATGTCATAAAAATGCAAACAACTTCACCTTACACAAGTCTCTCTCTCTCTCTCTCTCTCTCTCTCTCTCTCTCTCTCTCTCTCTCTCTCTCTCTCTCTCTCTCTCTCATAAGATATGCAAGGCTCTTTGCTCAAGTGCAAGAATCCCCAAAGTTTGGTAAATGTAAATGGTGGACAATACGAGTACTGTGCCGCAACAAAATTGATAACGGATAGACGGTCGAACGGACGGGCGGACAACATTATACAATACAATACAAACTCCACCTCATGGGCGTATAAAAATAGAATAATTCAAAGAAAGAAAGAATATAATTATAAGTGAGGTTTACATAATTAGTAAATGGACAGATTGATTTTTAAACGGCAATGGCCAAACTGTATAATACGATTTTTTTCTTAACATATGGCCATTCCATAATGATTTTGTAACACTATAACTGGTTTAAAAAAACAAGTTCACTAATACGATAATTTCAAAATGTACATCGGACAGCCCGTATGAGTATCTGATAATTTTGTAACAAAATACGGCTAAAGAAAAAAAAAATTTTTTTAAATATAATGAAATTTAACTAATTAGAATAGCGCACAAATGCTTAATTGTGTAAGTAATTAAATATGTGCTTGAATTAACATTAGTTAGGATCGGCTAATCTGCATAATAAAAAGCCCGGAAGAAGATGGTGTTTATAGAGTACCCGCATCAAGAAACGGGAAAGCACAAGGCGTTTTGCAAGCGGGTGTCGTGTGCTACCCACACAAAATATGTCTTCTTTAACGTTCGTCTTTCAGAAATACATCAAGATGCCTTTTCAGGAATAATAAATTATCGTTTTATATAAACTCATCAGAACTTTCAATTAATTGTATCGTTTTAAAGTAATTGTTTGGCATAGCGCGCGATACGAGCGTAAAAAAAACAATAGGATGTATTTCTCATTTTTATCTCACATTCTAGTTGTCACTAGACACTACATGACTCCAAGAACAAAG